GTTCCAGGTGGCACTCCGGGGGAACCCGCCATTTTCTGAAAGAAAATGGTCCCATTTTCTGAAAGAAGGCTCTCTGGTAGGGCAAACATCACAAATAAAGCGGTTAAGCAAGAAATGAGCTTCTCTGAAATCATGAATGCAAAGAAGTAATGTGAGTAATAGTCTATAACACTCAATAGCATGTAGCCATGCACTGCAATCGATAGGCCAGTAATATCCATTGCAATTCTCTGCCATGGTCTATCTACGACTACCATTATCAAAGGGGCTGGAAGAGCAGTAGTTCTCTGCACTGTGCAGGCTGAATATGCCTTCATATGATGCTCAATGTCTGAGTGCAGCCCTAGCCACCAAGCATAACTACACAGAATCACCTTCATAACTCCCAAATGTCCTTCGTGAGTCACACCCAGGACTGCTTGTCGAATGCTAGGATGATCACCCATGCTCCTCTGCATAAGATATGTTGAGTAGCACATGTCTTCACTGTGAGCTCAGAACAAATTTTGTAGAATGTAGACAAAATTCTCTTAAGAACTGGGTCTATCCGACCCGTTTGTACAGCATGCATCACCTCGCACAGTTCAGCATCTTGAAGAGCAGCAGTTTGCCTTAAGTCAACTGGCAAGCTTTTCAGTAAAAAGCATAAAGCATACCTTGCCATTTCTGCACATGAGGGTGCCAATCCAGCAGAATTTCTTGAAAGAGTTTCGGCAAGTAAATTAGATCTTTGTTTGAAATGTACCAAATGAAAGCCAGTCATACTGCTGCAACTGATAACCCACTGTGGCAGCCTCATGCTCAGCAGATCAACAGTCTTATGACAGAGGCCCAAAATAGGCAAATCAGTTTCTAAAGTAAAATGTTTCCCCAGTAAATAGACTTTGAAGTGTACAATAGCAAAAACCATCGCCAAGAACTCTAGCTCAATCTGGGAATACTTGGCTTCTGTCAGGGTGAGAGTACAGGATGAGTATATAACTGGCCATCCCCCTGGAACAGAACTGTGCCCAGACCCTCATTGCATACATCAATTTGAATCATTATGGGCTTCCTTGGATCAAAATGAGAATGAGATTGGATTTAACAGAGGACCTGGCAGACTGTTTCAAAAATCCGTTTGGTCTCTTTAATCCTCCCAAGATTAGATCTCTCAGCAGTTTGGCAAGGGTACTAAAATTGGGCAGAACACAGCCGCTACAATCTGTGTGTTTCGGTAGTGAAGCAACAGCTTGCAGCCATTCAGGTGTCAGTTTCACACCATCCGCTGACAGAGAATGCCACAGAAACTCTACAGCATCTTTTGCTAAACTGCAGCTGGCCACATTCAACTTTATGCCAGCTTGTTGGAGTCGGGTTAGCACCTGGTCCAGATAAGCATTATGTTCAGGAAGGGTCTTATCAAAGACAAGAATGTCATCCAAATAGCACCATGCACCCTGGATATTACCAAAGAGCTGAGAGACCACTCTCAAATACTTCAAGGAGCAGAGACTAAACCAAAAGGAAGTCATTGATAGCAGTACCTCCCTAATGGCATGCTGAAAGCAAACTTCCAGACACAAGTATTTTCCAATAACCGGATCGGTAATCCAACACAGAGAAAATCTGGGATCCACTGACCCAACATGTCACCTCTTTGAAGGCTGGCAACTGAAACTGCTCACGTTTCTCATATCTATTAAGAGCCCTAAAATCTGTGAAGTCAAATATCGCCATTCTTCTGGTATACTATCACCGTGGATAAGCTCCAATCCATATGCCCTTCCACCTCCCAAATGATTATATCATTTTTCATGCATTGCAGTTCTGCTCAGATCTTGTCCACAAGTGCAGGAGGTACATCTCGTGCAGGGGGTGCAAAGGGCTTGGTGTTCAAATCCAACAGCAGAGAGTATGCATAGCCCGTGGACGGAACACTGTCATTGTTAAACAAATCATGGTGTCTCTGAATGATACATTGGGTATCCCCTTCTAAACTAGCTGACATAATCACACCTGAGATATCCTGGGAGAGCTCATGCACGATACCAAAATGTAAGCACAAATCATAGGACAATAATGGAACATCATTCACAGCAGCATCTTTAACAAGATAAAACTTTGCAGTCAAGGCTATGCCTTTGTAGAGCACAGAAAACACAGTTTCACCCACTGTCTGCAAAGCATACAAATTCCAGGCTTTTATAACCACTGTAGTTGGGCAAATGTCTAGATTATGAATTAACCCAAAAGGGAGAACGTTAACTTCAGCACCTGTATCCACCATGCACCTCAGCAGTGTACCATTAATTTCTATAAAAACAACAGGGACTGGGAGTGGCTGGCTCATTACAGAAGCAGCTTTTCCTCTCCTGGAATTGACACCTCCTCATCTATTATTGGGAGTGGACTACATCCACCCTGATTGAATTGGCCCTGTCAACACTGGTTCTCCACTTGCGAAGTAACTCCCTGCTCTCCATGTGTCAGTATATAATGCCTGCATCTGTAACTTTCACTCTATGCATCCGAAGAAGTGAGGTTTTTACCCACGAAAGCTTATGCCCAAATAAATCTGTTAGTCTTTAAGAGGCCACCAGACTCCTTGTTGTTTTTGTAGATACAGACTAACACGGCTACCCCCTGATACTTGACATTAATTTCTATGACACGAGAGACCAGTTCCAGTGCCTTTCCACATGAGAAGATTGTATTAAAGGCAACACTGGAGTCCCTGTATTGTATTCAAGGCAACAAGGTGGTCTCATGTGGCTTCACATTCCCAATATAGAATCATAGAACCACAGGGTCAGAAAGGACTGCAAGGACCATCTAGTCTAACCCCTGGCCAAGATGCAGGATTTGTTGTGTCTAAGCCATCCAAGACAGTTGGCTATCCAGCCTCGTTTTGAAAACCTCCAGTGAAACAGCTTCCATGCTGGCCATCAGGAAGTTTAGACTTGAAATTAGACGAAGGTTTCTAACCATCAGAGGAGTGAAGTTCTGGAACAGCCTTCCAAGGGGAGCAGTGGGGGCAAAATACATATCTGGCTTCAAGACTAAGCTTGATAAGTTTATAGAGCGGATGGTATGATGGGATAGCCTAATTTTGGCAATTAATTGATCTTTGACTATTAGCGGTAAATATGCCCAATGGCCTGTGATGGGATGTTAGATGGGGTGGGATCTGAGTTACTACAGAGAATTCTTTCCTAGGTGTCCGGCTGGTGAGTCCTGCCCACATGCTCAGGGTTTAGCTGATCGCCGTATTTGGGGTCGGGAAGGAATTTTCCTCAAGGGCAGATTGGCACAGGCCCTGGGAGTTTTTTGCCTCTCTCTGCAGCATGGGGCACGGGTCACTTGCTGGAGGATTCTCTACACCTTGAAGTCTTTAAATCATGATTTGAGGACTTAAATAACTCAGACATACGTTAGGGATTTATTACAGGAGTGGGTGGGTGAGATTCTGTGGCCTGCGTTGTGCCGAAGGTCAGACTAGATGATCATAATGGTCCCTTCTGACCTTTAAGTCTATGACTCTAATATGCACTTCAGGCCTCTTCTTGTCATGAACCAGTGTACCATGGCACAATAACTTAAAATGTCCTTTCTCTCCACAAGCCCAGCACTCAGCAGTTCTAGCCAAGCAGGCAAAAAAATTGGCCAAGTGATTTGTATTACCACACTTGAAACTGAAAAGCAAGCAATTTTCGCTGCTGAGGCTGTGGAGCAGGAGTATATAGTGTCGTATGACTCTGGGTGATGGAAGCATAATGAACAGCTAATAGTTTAAGCGTAGACACAAAGGTAGCAGCAGTCTGAGACACAGAATCTCTTTCAGCCTGTGCCCTCAAATGCCTTGCTCTTGGTAACCACAGCATCAAAAGTTAGGGTTTAGCATCTTGCACCAGTAACCATTCACCAACGTGGTCATTGGCTATGCCAATCACAAAAATATCCCCGAAATCACAGTCCTGGGTCAACTGCCACAAATAAATTCACATATGGTTTCATTAGGCTGCTGATGAGCTTCAAAAAATTGTTTTCCTCTTTAACAGAACAGAATCTCCAGTGTCAAAATACTCACTGATATGCTGCACAGCTGCATCAAAAGAGGACTTGGGCTCCAGGAGTCCATCATAAATACCAATGCCATAACAGCCTAAGCAGTTCTGCATCTGGGGTAACCTAGCAGCATGGGAGAGTTGCATGATCTGCACACAGTTCCAGAAATTCTGAATAAAGTATCGCCATTCAACAGCAGAAGGATGTACAGGCAGCATGAGTTAAAATTAAATAAATTTTAAATTAAATAAAATAAATACACAATAGAAACACTCATTGCATAATGTTATGCATAGATGCACCCCAGAATGGCAATCCCAAAACATCAAAAAAAATATATGAAGGAAGACTCACAGGTAAGTTGTCAAACAAAACATGTAATAACCATGAACCAGTTAAGTCTGAACAAAACATAACAGTCTGAATGGCAGATAACTAACAGCAGACACTGGGTAGATGCACAAACTCAATGTTATACCCAATGTTATACACGCACAAACACAGGAACTGGACCACTGAGTACAGAGAGTAGGAAGCAAGAATGCAGCGCACACACACACAAACCAGATCATCAATAAAGAACTGGGGGAGGAGAGGGCGAGAGAAAGAGAGACCGACCAAAGCTGGACACCACCCCATTATCACTTTCCTTCTTCAGCCGGGTGTCTCTCCTCTATGTGACAGAATTTCTATCCAAGCCAATGTGAATTATTTGAGGGAGAAAGGTTCCATACATCACTGTATCAAATGCTTTTACCAAACTCCAAATCTCTTTGTCTAGGTACTTATAGTCCCTTGATCGGAAGATCCCTTCCCACGCTTCTCCCTTCACCTATTCAGTTTGCAATTCCTTCACAACAGCAATCAAGTTGGTTTAGCAAATTTGGCTCTTCAGAAATTTCCTGTGTTGTTCTTTACTCATGACTATAGGGGGAAGAGAGGAAGGTTCTTACCTTTCCTGTGTGAGCGGGACATCTGGTTTAATTAGGAGAATTCGGTATCTGCCAGAAACAAACCAAATTTAACAACAAGGGAGAGAGAAATCTCTGATGCCCTGAGCTGATCCAGTGTCCCCATTACAGCAAGGATGACCACAAATCAGTACCCATCCACTTCCTCCCCCTGCCCCACACATACCATATCCACTGTCTTAGGTCCTTTTCACACTTTTTAATCAGGTCATTTCACTCACTGTTGATCAGACTGGCAATTCCCTCACCCCATTATTGGAATCACTTCCCTTCCGACCTTCAAACAACATTTCATGATTTTAACAAACCTTTCTGCAAATTCCTCAAAAGAGGGTCTCCAGGAAAAGCCGTTTCGCCGAATCTGGATGGTCTCCAGCAATCCATTGTACCTGAGCTGAGGTGAGAGCACAATAAGATTCAAAAAGAGATTAACAGATTTTACGGCCAGAAGGGACCATTATGATCATCTAAGTCTGGCCTCCTGCACAGCATAGGTCAAAGAAGTTCAAACAGAAATTCCTGTAACCAGACCAATAACTTCTGGTTGATCTAGAGACATCTGTTGGAAAAGTCATACAGCAAAACAAAATTTCCAATAAGTTCTTGGAATGTATTGGGGACAAAATTGTTTCAGAAAGTGGAGAAAATAACAGGTGGGTCAGCCTTTTTAGATTTAATTTTGACCAAGAGGGAGGAACTGACTGAGAATCTGAAGTTGGAGGGAAACTGGGGGGGAAAGTGAACACAAAATCACAGATTTCATGATTTGAAAGAAAGGAAGAAGTGAGAGCAGCTGAATAAGGACAACAGACTTCAAAAAAGCCGACATCAACAAATTCAGAAAAGTGGTAGGGTAAGGTCCATGGGAAGAAAATCTAAGAGATATAGGAGATCAGGAGAGCTGGCATTTTCTTAAGGAGACAATATTAAAGACAACTGCAAACTATCCCAATGTGAAGAATAGGAAGAAACCAAAATGGCTCCATCAGGAGCCCTTGAATGAATGACCTGAAAATAAAAAAATAATCCTACAAAAGCAGAAACATGGATGAACTGCTAAGGAGGAGAACAAAATAATAGCGTAAGCATGTAAGAACAAAATCAGAAAGGCTAAGGCACCAAATGACATATACCTAGCAAAGGACATCAAAGGCAATAAGAAGAGGTTCTTTAAATACATTAGGAGCAAGAGAAAGATGAAGGAAAGTGTAGGTCCTCTACTTAGCCAGGAAGGAGAGCTAATAAAAAGAGGACATCAAGAAGACTGATGTGTTCAATCTCTATTTTGCTTCAGTCTTCGCTAAACAGGTTAACATGACCAGACACTCAACATAACTAATATTAACAACAAGGGGAAGGATTGCAAGACAAAACAGGGAAAGAAGAGGTTAAAGAATATTTAGAAAAGTCAAACGTATTGAGGTCGGCAAGGCCTGATGAAATTCATCCTAAGGTACTTAAGAACTAGCAGCATTCTTGGAACATTAGCAATTATCTTCAGGAACTCCTGGAGAATGGCTGAGGTCCAGAGAAGGGCAAACATAGCACCTATCTTTAAAAATGGAAACAAGGAGGACCCAAGGAATTACAGACCAGTCAGCCTAACTTCAGTACCCGGAAAGATACTGGAACAAAGTATTAAACAATCAATTTGTCAGGATGCTTAGTTATAAAAAGGAGTTATAAGGAATAACCAGAATGGATTTGTCAAGAACACATCATGCCAAACCAACATAATTTCCTTCTTTGGCAGGGTTACTGGCCTAGTGGATAGAGGGGGAAGCAGTAAACATGATATATCTTGAGTTTAGTAAGGCTTTTGACATAATCCCATGTGATATTCTTCTAAAAAAAAAAAACTAGGGAAATGGGTCTAGATAAAATTACTATAAGGTGGGCTCACAAGTGGTTGAAAGACTATACTGAGAGTGGTTATCAATAGTTCAGTCAAACTGGGAGGATGTCTCGAGTGAGGTTCGACGGGGGGTGGGGGGGGTCAGTCCTGGGTCTGGTACTAGTCAATATTTTAATTACTTGGATAATAGGAGAATAGGGCTTCTAAAATTTGTGGCTGACACCAAGATGGGAGGGGTTGCAAGCACTTTCAAGGACAGGATTAGAATTCAAACTGACTTTGACAACCTAGAGCAGGGGTCGGCAACCTTTCAGAAATGGTGTGCCGAGTCTTCATTTATTCACTCTAATTTAAGGTTTTGCGTGCCAATCATACATTTTAAGGTTTTTAGAAGGTCTCTTTCTATAAGTCTATAATATATAACTAAACTATTGTTGTATGTAAAGTAAATAAGGTTTTTAAAACGTTTAAGAAGCTTCATTTAAAATTAAATTAAAATGCAGAGCCCCCCAGACCGGTGGCCAGGACCCGGGCAGTCTGAGTACCACTGAAAATCAGCTCATGTGCCGCCTTTGGCACGCGTGCCATAGGTTGCCTACCCCTGACCTAGAGAATAAGCCTGAAATAAACACAATGAAATTCAATAAAGCCAAGTGCAAAGTACTACACTTAGGAAAGAAAAAAATCAAATGTACAACTAAAAAATAGGGAATAACTGGCTAGGTGGTAATACTGCTGAAAAGGATCTGGGGGGTATAGTGGATCACAAATTGAATGTGAGTCAACAATGTGATGCAGCAAAAAAAGTTAATATTCTAGGGTGTATTAACAGCAGTGTTGTACGTAAGACAAGAAGTAACTCTTCCCACTCTACTCGGCATTGGGAGGCCTCCCAGGGGATAATAAATAAAAATAATATAAAAATGATCCTGCCCATCAGTTCCCTGAGGGAGTCAAAGTCTGCTTTTCTGAAGTCCAGGGTCCATATTCTACAGCTCTCCTTTCTTCCTTTTGTCAGGATCCTGAACTTGACCATCTCATGGTCACTGCTGCCCAGGTTGCCACCCACTTCTACTTTCCCTACCAATTATTCCCTGTTTGTGAGCAGCAGCAGATCAAGAGGAGCATGCTCCCTAGTTGGTTCCTCCAGCACTTGCACCAGGAAGTTGTCCCCAACACTCTCCAAAAACTTCCTGGATTGTCTGTGCACCGCTGTATTGCTCTCCCAGCAGATATCAGGGTGATTGAAGCCCCCATGAGAATCAGGGCCTGTGATCTGGAAACTTCTGTTAGTTGTCCGAAGAAAGTCTCGTCTACCTCATCCTCCTGGTCGGGTGGTCTATAGCAGACTCCGACCACGACATCACCCTTGTTGCTCTCGCCTCTAAACTTAACCCAAAGACTCTCAACAGGCTGTTCTCCAGTTTCATACTGGAGCTCTCAGCAATCATACTGCTCCCTTACATACAATTCAACTCCTCCATCTTTCCTCCCATACCTGTCCTTCCTGAACAATTTATACCCATCTATGACAGTGCTCCAGTCATGTGAACTGCCCCACCAAGTTTCTGTTATTCCAATCACATCATAGTTTCTTGATTGTGCCAGGACTTCCAATTCTTCCTGCTTTTTCCCAGGCTTCTTGCATTCGTGTACATGCACCTAAGATAACTAGCCAATTTCTCAGTATGAATCAGGAGGCTTCCCGACTTGTACCCTCCTCTTTGTGTTTCCTCCAGGTATCTCACTTCCCCACTTACCTCTGGGCTTAGGTCACCATCCCCCACGAACCTAGTTTAAAGCCCTCCTCACCAGGTTAGCAAGCCTGCCTGCGAAGATGCTCTTCCCTCCCATCCATTGCAGTCTAAATTAACTGACTTCTTCTGTAAGAAGCAAGCTCCCCTACTTACCACCAGGGGTTTGGCACACATCAGTTCTGATTCCCCTGCTACTTTAAAATCTGGGGGAAGGAAACCCCCTGGAAGTAGCTTTATCAACAAAAGGATCTTATAGATAAGGATCTTACAGATTTAGAATTAAAGAATAGCAAGAAAAGTATCTATGAACCCGCATCATCAGACTTGGTGGATTACAACCCTCCTTTTAATGATACTAAGTTTCCATTAGTTATCTTTGATGAACCCTCTTCTGGAGGAGATAGCGAGCATTAAGAATTCTCTCTTTGAATTTAAAATCGTATTGAGTGGCTTATGGGAAGACTGGTCTAACTGGCAAGCTACATGTCCCCCAACAGCTAAGTCTGGTCTGGAAATGGAAAAACCTAAAGTTATAGATAATTCAACTCAGACTCAAGATAGGATTGTGCTAATCTTTATTAATGCTCCTAAGGCTAACTTAAGATAAACTGACTTCTTCTCTTCTTGGTTTACCATCTTCTGATTTAAATATTTCAAGGGATAATTCTCCCTTTCTTAGAAATCTTTCAAATATCTTAGGGTCTCAGAAAATGCTGAAAATTTGGCCCTCTGATATTTAACAGAAATGGACCACTGAGTTTTTAGTTTTTCGAGGGGAGTATGTTCAGACAGTCCCTTACAGCTATCCATTTAAATCAGTAATTGGCTGATAAGGTTTGTTTTTATTTACTTTCTAACTCTGTTGCACCTTTACTCTCACAATATGCATGAGAGGCAAGAGGTGGAATTTTTTTATTGCCATATAGTTTCTAGAATTTGGAAGATGAGCAAACAACTAAGGTGCCAAAGTGTCCTCATCTCTAGAGCAGATATATTATTTGGGAATATCCTATAGAGTAAGGATGGATCTAAGGTATAATTATTTGTGTCTAAAAGAAGAGGCTGGTTCCTATCCTTTATCTTATGAGAATATAACTCAGGATTTTACATCATCTCTTCCTCAGGTACATTCTATAACTTTTTGTGCTACTAATTTAATGGGATCACCTAAATTTGAGCCTTCAGTCTCTTCTACTAGGGCCACTAGTTTTACCATTCCCCTTCTCTGAAATGGTGCTATTTTTTATGGGAGTCTTGAGACAGAAGTCCAAGAGGATTCCCCTCCCTTATGTTTACTATCTTCCAAGCAGATTTCTCAACAGAATAATGTGATATTTGGAGATGAATCAAAATTCTTACAATTAGGCTATTGGGCCAATTTCTCCTATTTGACTAGATTCTCCAATTTCTTTCCCTCCACCTAGGGAGAGCTTCTGCCAGAATAATTTACCTGGAATTTACCTGGGTATAAAAATAAGATGAATGACAGAGGGTTTTTTTAATTTTTAAAACCTTAAAAAGAAAAAACAAAACAAAAAACAAGAAACGTGGTTAGCTGAGTCTGAAATCATAGTCTTTCCTGATTTTGAATCTTCTCTCCATGAAGGAAGCCATTTGTCTAAAAGGGGTCATATATCAGGAGGACTTGCCGCCCTGGTTTCCTTCCACCTGAAAGCCCAGATTTTACTTTTGGAATCAAAGTGTCAGGGCATTCTGGCTGTATTAATTTTTTTTCTTGATCTCCAAATTTTAGTATTAAATGTTATTTTCCCTCCATAAGCT